TTCAGCACATCACATGACTCTACTTTATTTTTTTGTACAAGCTTTTTTTAAAGTGTAAAAATCCTACACTTCATTCACTGCTGTGCTGCCCTATATTGCAGAGCAATTCAGCCCAATGCGCTGCGGTAATACAGAACTGCACTAGTCTGCGTTGCAGTGTGAAAGGGACACATAGGAAAGAATTGTCACCACACACAGTGTGAATCTGCCCTCACCCCGTATTAGATGTACAGGCTGAAAGTTGCTGGGCTTGCCGGCTGAAGCCTAACATTGCACCCCTGATCATGAGTGCAATGCTTTGCAGGCTCCTGAGGAAAAAAAATTATGTGCAGTTATTTTTCCCTAAAAGGTGAACATAGCCTTTAATCTTTCTCTATTTCAAATTTTAAAAAGGAAAGAGCTTTACACTTGTCCGTTGATGACCTTCACCTTTATGAAAAGGCTTTGCTGAGCCTCTGGTTTTATAGTTTTCTTTGTTAACGTGTTCACATGCAAAGCATGTTTTTGCTTCCAATTAAACGGTGTTAATACTGTGTAAGGCAGCTTGTGAAGTAATACCCAGCATTAGAGTGGTAGATCTATTCTTTGAAAAATTTCTGGCAGTATTGCATTTAATCTTCCTCTTTTCTGTATACTATATTTCTTCTAATACTTCTTTTTTCTCATGTGACCGCTCAGCATCACATTTACTGCTACGCTAACCTGTTGAGTCTCTTTAGGAAATGTTTGTCTGCTTTGTATATGCTCTTATGCAATTGATATATAGGGAATCTGAACAGATAGTGGAAAGGGAAAAGCACATGCAGACAGAGCAGTCACTTTCCTATTAAAACAAAATAAAGAGAAATCCGTAACCAAAATAGGGATATATAAAGAGGTTCTTCAGCAAGGGAGCCGAAGCAGATAAATGGTTACTTAGATTACAAATGTTCCTTAATGGACCATGATTATATCATATAAATAAAAGTACATAATTATTTCTACACACACAACATCTTAAATATCATTAAAAACAGCTGAATGGTGATAAATGGTTACTTAGAAAATGTGGCTTAATGGACCATATCATAAAAAAAGTATAGTTTTTATTATCAAAAAGTCTAAAAAGATACATAATTATTTCGGCACACATCTTGAATATCATTAAAAACAGCTGAATGGTGTCTGTCACTGTTTATATGTTTGTAGTATAGCCACAAGGTCACTCTCTCACCCTTACTCTGAATATCTCGGATCAAACCTAGTTTGGTGGAGGTGCCCTCAAGTGGCTTACCATGTAGTCCCTTAGTGGGCAGTCAGCATCTAGGCAATTTCTTTTGGCAATTCACCTTAGCAGGGTCATTATAAACAAGTATAACAGAACAAAAGTCCCTTAGGAAAGCACTCTTGAGGCATAGATTGCCCATTCTGTATTGTGCTCCTTTTACTTATTCACCTGGCCACATGCCGTTTTTGTTAGGTGCTTCAATATTGTGGAGCTACTTGCTTAGGGCAGTATTCTATCTGCCACGCCTGTTAAGGGTACTAGATATTAGTAATTACCATGAGACTACCTTAATGTTTAATTCACCCCTCACATTTGCCAGTTTAAGACCTCCATTGATGAAGGTAATTAGATATGGGTATTTGGGGCCAGTATGTGGGCGATCATTCAGCAGGTAGTCCATGTGTAATTGCAGGTCCTGCAAGGTGCTTATTTACTAAATGAAGTGCTGCAGTAGAGATCAATCATCAACAGTATTGGCTAATGAGAAACTAAATAAATAGCATTATATGTTATTACATGCAAATATTGCTAATCAATGGTATATAACCTGAATTAGGAAGTAGTTGATCACCCCTAGGAATAGAATAGCTGTAATCTTCATTGCATAAAGCAACATAAAGTTACTAGCATACAAATATATCCATCATGGGGGTGCACTTTGCTCATTGCCAGTCGTGACTAAATACTGCTGACCTAGCACATATATGCTGACAATATGTGGCAACAAGAGATCAGTCCATATGGACAATATTGTTCACCTATACTGGCAATATATCTCCACAATTAGGAAAAAGTTCCCAATGGTGTAAAGCCATGAGATGCTATAGCTGCTGAAGAGGGAGCTGTATCTCCCAGTGTGGCAAGATGTAAAAGTTTCCATAGTCCACAATAGAGATAACCTACTTGCTTATGAATGTCCTTTGAGATTGCTGTCCTGATTTACCATGGATCATAGATCTCCGTGTTCAAAAGTCAGCTGAGATTGTCAACTCCAGACTAGAGGATCTGTTGCATAGTGCCTGATGTGCAAGACAGAGTGGTACAAATCCGGGAACAGGTCCTCAGTTGTGTCCTGCTGTCACTGTTAGCGGTGCATTAAACGGGACTGCCAAAGTGTTGCTGCGTGTCTGTGATCACCATGTGGATGTCATCATGCGGTATGCAACGGATCTTCTAGTCCAGAGTTGACAAGCTCAGCTGAATTTTGAACATAGAGATCTATGATCCACGGTAACTCAGGAAAGTATTAATACCCTTTAAAATGTTCCATATTTTGTCATGTTACAACCAAAAATGTAAATGTATTTTATTGGGATTTTTATGTGATAGACTAACACAGAGTGGTACATAATTGTGAAGTGGAAGGAAAATGGTAAATGGTTTTCAACATTTTTTACAAATGTCTGAAAAGTGTGGTGTGCATTTGTATTCGGCCCCCTTTATTCTGATACCCCTAACTAAAATCTAGTGGAACCAATTGCCCTCAGAAGTCACCTAATTAGTAAATAGAGTTCACCTGTGTGTACTTTAATATCAGTATAAATACAGCTGTTCTGTGAAGCCCTCACAGGTTTGTTAGAAAACATTTGTAAAAAAACAGCATCATGAAGGCCAAGGAACACACCAGACAGGTCAGGGATAAAGTTGTGGAGAAGCTCAAAGCTAGGAATATTTTTATTTTTTTTTTATAACCTAGCCCTGCTTTAAACATCTCGCAGAGCATATGAAAATGGAAAGCGTATGGCATAACTACAAACCTACCCAGGCATGACCGTCCACCTAAACTGACAGGCCGGGCAAGAACAGCATTAATCAGAGAGGCAGCTAAGAGGCCCATGGTAATTCTGGAGGAACTGCAGAGATCCAGAGCTCAGGTGGGAGAATCTGTCCACAGGATAACTATTAGTCGTTCGCTCCACAAATCTGGCCTTTATGAAAGAGTGGCAAGAAGAAAGCCATTATTGAAAGAAAGCTGTCAGAAGTCCCTTTTGCAGTTTACAAGAAGCCATGTGAGGGAAACAGCAAATGTGGAAGAAGGTGCTCTGGGCTGATGAGACCAAAATTTAACTTTTTGACCTAAAAGCAAAACTCTGTGTGGCGGAAAACTAACCCTGCTCATCACCCTGAACACACCATCCCCACCGTGAAACGTGGTGGCAGCATCATGTTGTAAGGATGCTTTTCTTCAGCAGGGGCAGGGAAGCTGGTCAGAGTTGATAGGAAGATGGATGGAGCCAAATACAGGGCAATCTTAGAAGAATACCTGTTAGTCTGCAAAATACTTGAGATTGGGGCGGAGGTTCACCTTCCAGCAGGACAACGACCCTAATCATACAGCCAGAGCTACAATGGAATGGTTTAGATCAAAGCATATTTGTGTGTTAGAATGGTCCAGTCAAAATCCAGACCTAAATCCAATTAAGAATCTGTGGCAAGACTTAAAAATTGCTGTTAAGACGCTCTCCATCCAATCTGAGAGCTTGAGCTATTTTGCAAAGAACAATGGGCAACAATTTCACTCTCTAGATGAAGTCAAAATGACTTGCAGCGAAAGATGGTTCTACAAAGTATTGACCCTGGGGGCTGAATACAAATGCATGCCACACTTTTCAGATATTTATTTGTAAAAAAATTTTGAAAACCATTTTATCATTTTCCTTCCACTTCATAATTATGTGCTACTTTGTGTTGGTTTATCACATAAAATACATTGACGTTTTTGGTTGTAACATGACAAAATGTGGAACATTTCAAGGGGTATGAATACTTTTTCAAGGCACTGTATCTATTTAGTTTCTCATTAGCCAATACTGTTGATGATTGATCTCTACTGCAGCACTTCATTTAGTAAATAAGCACCTTGCAGGACCTGCAATTACACATGGACTACCTGCTGAATGATCGCCCACATACTGGCCCCAAATACCCATATCTGATTACCTTCATCAATGGAGGTCTTAAACTGGCAAATGTGAGGGGTGAATTAAACATTAAGGTAGTCTCATGGTAATTACTAATATCTAGTACCCTTAACAGGCGTGGCAGATAGAATACTGCCCTAAGAAAGTAGCTCCACAATATTGAAGCACCTAACAAAAACGGCATGTGGCCAGGTGAATAAGTAAAAGGAGCACAATACAGAATGGGCAATCTATGCCTCAAGAGTGCTTTCCTAAGGGACTTTTGTTCTGTTATACTTGTTATAATGACCCTGCTAAGGTGAATTGCCAAAAGAAATTGCCTAGATGCTGACTGCCCACTAAGGGACTACATGGTAAGCCACTTGAGGCAACCTCCACCAAACTAGGTTTGATCCGAGATATTCAGATTAAGGGTGAGAGAGCGACCTTGTGGCTTTACTACAAACATATACACAGTGACAGACCCCATTTAGCTGTTTTTAATGATATTCAAGATGTGTGTGCCAAAATAATTATGTATCTTTTTAGACTTTTTGATAACAATAAAAACTATACTTTTTTTATGATATGGTCCATTAAGCCACATTTTCTTCTAAGTAACCATTTATCTACTTTGACTCCCTTGCTGAAGAACCTCTTTACACTTTCCTATTAAGCTGCTTTGTAACAACATAGTTCCGGTGACATCTCTTTTAAATGTTTATCAGCTAGCAGTGTTGGTTCAGCGGTACAATGTTGGTCGAAGCAGGTTAGAAAAAAGCCAATGACTGTATATAACCCCACTTCACAGTCCTTTGTTTTGTTGTCTAAAGGGAGAGCTGTAATGTTTCGTGTGGCAGAGGAGATCCCTAAGCTGAAAACTCGGACACAAAAAACAGGAGGAGGAGATCAGGCAGTTCAGCAAGGAGAAGGTGGTAAGAAGAGCAAGAAAAAGAAGAAGTGATGGACTTGTGTAAATAGAGAAGAGCGACAATTTCATTTCCAGGGGTTGCTATGTGACAACACTGTTCACACAAACACAGATCAATGTCTCCAGCGTCCGCATTACGCTCTAGCTACAAATCAATCATGCCTTGTATTAAAGGACTACCAACTAACTCCAAAGTTCTTAGTAATGTCCCATTTTGTGGGTCATTATCCCACTACTGACACCTCAGAGTTTTTTTTCTTTTTAGTCAAATGAAGTTTAATTTGTTTTTCCTGCCATAAAAATTGAGAGGAGCTGGCAGTGTGCCACACACAAATTTTATTTTATTCTTGTTTCCTTAATGATTGCTCTTTTTGACAGATCTTAAAAGACCTGTACATTTTAGTTCTTGAGCTGCTTGCATACCCACATACTGACTTATAAAAATAAGTATATAAATAATTTGATTTGTCATTAAAAATCAAGAAAGTTACCTTTCTTTGATTTATACTTTGGCGAGCCAGAAAGTTATTTTGGATCAGCCTAAACACAACGGTGATATTATATTATGTTTCATAACTTTCTTTGTACAAACGGCAACAATTGAATAAAACATTGTATTTATGTTTTAACAATGGGTGGTAATGTATGTTTTTGTGTTTTGTCTATCTGTAAAATTACCTAGGTCTTGAAGAAATCTTGAATAGCTGGACTATTAGAACAGTACAGTGCAGGTTCGGTGAAAACTGCAGGGTGATCTGGAGCACAATGTGCCCTTACACTTTGCCCCTAAACAATAATAAGTCCACCGATGGCTTAACCACTGCAAGTTCGGACACTTTTACCCCCTTCCTGTCCAGGCCAATTTTGAGCTTTCAGTGCATGAATGACAATTGCGCGGTCATGCAACACTGTACCCATGTGAATTTTTTTGAGACAGATAAACCTTTATTTTGGTGCTATTTATTCACCACTGGGATTTTTATTTTTTTTGCTATGTAAATGAAAAAGTACAATAATTTTGAAAAAAGTGTTTTTTCTTATAAAATGTTGCAAATAAATATTTCATCATAAATCTTGGCCAAAATTTATTTCGTTTATCTTTTTAGTAAAAAAAAAAAAAAAACCCAAATTAGTTTATAACCAAAAATTATAATTTTTAAACTTTTTTTTTATATTTTTATTTTATTTGTTTATATAATTATTTGTTTTTTTTTGTTTTTTTTTTCCCCTCATACTGTCACCCTAGCAGTACAGTGACACTGTACTACTTGTGGGGGGTGAAGATTTTTTTTTTTTTTTTTACACGGATTGCTTTTCCACCCAAAAAAACTGTAAAAGCAATCATTTCTCCTTCTCTCTGGCTGCATTCTTGCAGCAATTGAGAACTACTGTGTGAGCTGTGATTGGTCACAACTTGTCACATGGTACAAGGCTGTTGTGAATAGCCTTGTACCATGTGACCTCTGTGGTCATTCACAGATTTCACACGTAGTAAGCAATGATGTCAGAAGTGACATCTTGCTTACTACTCTGCATGTGATCGGGACCTCGCACAGAGGTCCTGCAGGACGATCAGTGTTCCACTGTGTCCGGAGGACACAGCGGGCACCAGATCGCGGTGCTGTGCGCTCCCAGGGAGTGAGCACAAGCAGAGGGCGGGGAGGCCGTTTATAAACGGCCACCCGACCCTGCACTGCCACCATCCGGCCATTTATATACAACGGCTGGACGGACGGGAGGTGGTAAAGAGTATAGATCATTGGCGTCCTTCTGAAATGTGGATCCACTGCAGATAGGTTCCAAAAATTGTGACACAGAGAAGCATTCTGAATATTGCTCTAAATAGACTGGCTCCCAGAGGGTTAAAAGAAGATATCAAAATGTACACTATTCTCTGCTCACACTTATAGCAATGAGTGGTTGGGCTGTAGGTCATTTGGTTCATATACACACTTGCACGCTTATTTTTGTGTATGAATATACAGTATACAATATATGGTTCTCGGTCTTCATGAATTTTATTCATAATAGAGTTTTCTCCATTAAAGTTAGTCATTTGCTATGTTGTTTTTGCTTTTTTTGCCATGTCACGATACACTATGGGGGTTATTTTCCGAAGCTGGAGAGTGCAAAATCTTGTGTTGCTCTACATAGAAACCAATCGGCTTCCAGGTTTTATTGTCCTCTAATCCCTCTTGTATTGAACTGTATTGTTACTGTACTGTCTCCCTCCATAATGTAAAGCGCTGAGCAAACTGTTGGCGCTATACAAGTCCTGTATAATAACAATAATTGTCAAAGCTTAATTGAACAAGCTGACGTTAGAAAGTGATTGGCTACAATGCACAGCTGCACCAGATTCTGAGTGCTCTGGTTTTAGTAAATATATGTATCACTGTAATTCTTGGGACAGAGTAAATTAACAATATTCTCTAGTCTGAATCCTTTATTTTTTAATATACAGTTGCAAGAAAAAGTATGTGAACCCCTTGGGATTACGTGGAGTTCTGCATGAATTGGGCATAAAATGTGCTCTGAACGTCATCTAAGTCACAACAATAGAAGAACACAGTCTGCTGAACATAATACTACACAAACATTAGATAGTGCCATGGTTTAATTGCACATAACATGTAAACATTCACAGTGCAGGGAAGAAAAAGTATATGAACCTTTGGACTTAATAACTGGTTGACCCTCCTTTGGTAGCAATAACCTCAACAAAACGTTTCCTGTAGTTGCAGATCAGACCTGCACAATGATCTGGAGTAATTTTGGACCACTCCTCTTCACAAAACTGTTTCAGTGTAGCAATATTCTTGGGATGTCTGGTGTGAATCGCTCTCTTAAGGTCATGCCACAGCATTTCAATCGGGTTGAGGTCAGGACTCTGACTGGGCCACTCCAGAAGGCGTATTCTGTGCTGTTGCAGCCATTGTTTTGTTGAATTACTTGTATGCTTTGGGTCATTGTCCTGTTGCATCACCCATCCTCTGCGGAGCTTCAGTTGGCGGACAGATGGTTGTACGTTTTCCTGCAAAATGTCTTGATAAACTCTGGAATTCATTTTCCCATCAATGACAACAATCCGTCCAGGCCCTGAGGCCACAAAGCAGCCCCAAACCATGATGCTCCCTCCGCCATGTTTTACAGTGGGGATGAGGTTTTGATGTTGGTGTGCTGTGCCTTTTTTTCTCCACACATAGTGTTGTGTGTTCTTCCCAAACAACTCAATCTTGGTTTCATCTGTCCACAGTATATTTTGCCAGTAGTGCTGTGGAACATCCTGGTGCTCTTTTGCAAACTTCAAACGTGCTGCAATATTCTTTTTGGACAGCAATGGCTTCCTCTGTGGTGTCCTCTCATGTACTCCATTCTTGTTTAATGTTTTCCTTATTGTAGATGTGTCAACAAAAATGTTAGCATGTGCCAGAGATTTCTGTAGGTCTTTAGCTGACACTCTGGGATTCTTCTTTACCTCATGCAGCATTCTGCGCTGTGCTCTTGCAGTCATTTTTACAGGACGACAACGCCCAGGGAGAGTAGCAACAGTGCTAAACTTTCTCCATTTGTAGACAGTCTGTCTTACCGTGGACACATGAACATCAAGGCTTTTGGAGATACTTTTGCAACCCTTTCCAGCTTCATGCAAGTCAACAATTCTTGATTGTAGGTCTTCTGAGAGCTCTTTTCTGTGAGGCGTGGTTCACATCAGACAGTGCTTCTTGAAACCAGTAAACCCAAAACAGGTGTGTGTTTTTTTAAGGGCAGGACAGCTGTCAGCAACACATTCAATATCATCACACTGATTGGAGTCAAGGTTGGCTAACTCCTGGCTCCAATTAGATCTGGGAGAAGTCATTAAGCTAGGGCCTCACATACTTTTTCCTCCCTGCACTGTGAATGTTTACATGTTATGTGCAATTAAACCATGGCAACATCTAATGTTTGTGTAGTGTTATGTTCAGCAGACTGTGTTCTTCTATTGTTGTGACTTAGATATACGTTCAGAGCACATTTTATGCCCAATTCATGCAAAACTCCACATAATCCCAAGGGGTTCACATACTTTTTCTTGCAACTGTATATATACGATAAGTCATACAGTACCTATATCGTCCCAATCTGTGAAAATCTAAGTTTCCGATTCTTCACTTGTTTTAAATACACTGCTCAAAAAAAAATTAACCACTTGCCCTCCAGAGAATTTACCCTCCTTCCTGACCAGACCATTTTTTGCGATATGGTGCTGCGTTACTTTGACAATTGCGCGGTCATACAACCTTGCACTCAATTTAGATTTATGTCCTCCCCCCACCACCACACATATGGAGCTTTCTTTTAGTGGTATTTGCCTGTGCGGTTTTTAGTTTTTGTGCTATAAACAAAAAGACCGACAATTTTGAGAAAAAACAATATATTTGACTTTTTTTGCTATTAAACATGTCCTGTAAAAAATAACAAAAAAAAAATTTTAAATCAAATTTCATCATAAATTTAGGCCAAAATATATTCTACATGTCTTTGCTAGAAAAAAATCCCAATACATGTAAATAAATTAGTTTACACAAAATTTATAGCGCCTACAAATGGTGTATATATACTGGAAAAAATTTTTTATATACTAGTAATAGCAGTGATCAGCGACTTAAAGCGGGACTGTGGTGGGCATTCTGACACTGGGGGGGGAACTGTCACTGGCATCTCCAGTGACACTAATATAGTGATCAGTGCTGATAAAAAGCACAGACACTGTACTAATGACACTGGGCAGGGAAAGGGGTTAATATCTGGGGCAATCAAAGGGATAACTGTGCTGTGTGTGTGTTTTACTGTGTGCAGAGCCATACAAAGCAGTGTGCTGGAGCTGACGGGAGAGATCTGTATTGTTTACATACGGACCTCTCCCCCGTCAGTGATGCTCTGCGATCGCCGGGTGTCGCCAGGGCCTGGTGATCAACAGCTGAAGCCGCCAATGGCTCTCGGAAATACAAAATCACGTATATATACATGATTTTGCGCAGTCCTGCCAT